CGCATCCTGGACCTTGTGGGCTCAGGTGATCCTTCGGGCTCAGGCCATGCTTCCGCTTCAGCCTCCTGGGTACCTATAGGAGAGCACCATTACCCCCCTAATTTTTTGTGTTTTTTTGAGTTGGAGTCTCACTCTGTCACCCAGGCTGGAGTGCCGTGGCACGCTCACGGCCACTGCAGCCTCGACCTGCTGGACTCAGGCGATCCTTCCGCCTCAGTCTTCCAAGTCGCTGGAACCACAGGCGCACACCACCACACCCAGCTAATTTTTCTATTTTTGTAGAGACGAGGTCTCCGCATGTTGCCCAGGCTGGTCTCGACCTCCTAAGCTCAAATGATCCTCCCTCCTTGGCCTCCTTGAGAGCTAGGTATCACCATGTTCTTGCCACAGCACTCCAGCCTGGGTGACGGAGTGAGACTCTGACTCAAAGAAACAAACAAATAATTAATAAACATATTAGCTGGGTGTGGTGGTGTGTACCTATCCTCCCAGCTACTCAGGAGGCTGAGGTGGAAAGATGCCCTGAACCCAGGAGGCAAGGCTGAGGTGAGCTGTGATCGTGCCACTGCAGCCTGGGTGACAGGGTGAGACCCTGCCTCCCACCAAAAACCAAAATATGTTAATGAGTGCTGAGTTCTGAACTGGACAGAGCTGGCTGGATATGGACTCTGATTGCCTAGAAACACAGGGCTTACCACCACTTCAGGGCTGATTTAGGGAGGCTCAAGCAGGTAGTTGTCTCTCAGGAACCCATGGCAGGGTGGGTACTCCCCTGCCCCTACCTTCTCCAAAACCTGCCTGGGGTCCGTCAGTGGTTGAGCTGCCAAGATGCGTCTCCATGTTAGCTTCAGAGCCCGAGGTGAAGTAGATCGAGTCACTCCTCTTCAGGGAGAGGTTCCATGCGGAGGGAGGTTTAGCAGGGCCTGAGGTGGGTGGAGGGAATGAGAAAAGAAAGACAAAGAACAGCAGGATTGGGAGGTCTCTCACCTCAAAAGGTGAGAGCAAGTTTATTCTCACAGCATGTTTTTTATATAGGGCAAAACTACATAAACGAGAAATATCTTAATGCTAGCATCAGCTGGGAAAAAGGTCAATATTTGTGACTTTCTTGGCAAGCTTACTATAGCACTAACATCTTTGTTTTTTGAGTCTAAGCAAAACCATTAACATCTGTGTTCTTTGAAGTTCTGAGTAAAGTTATTATTGAAGCAGGCTACATCCAGTCTACGCAGACTAGAGGTCACAGCACCTGAATTCTACTAAATCAACATTCCCAGGGCCAAACATCGAGAGAAGAAAACACTGGCCAAGCTCTTGTTGGAGCCAGGCCAGAAACACAAGGACCTTGTCAAGCTTATGTCCTCGTTTCCTTCGGTTCCATTTTGTAAAACTCACATCCTAAGTTGGACACCTTAAAAATCCCACTCTGACTTGGGCAACATAGCGAGACCTTGTCTCTACAAAAAATTAGCCAGTCACGGTGGTGTACACCAGTAATCCCAGTTACTTGGAAGGCTGAGGTGGAGGGATCGCCTGAGCCTAGGAGGTCGAGGCTGCAATAGCCATGAATGTGCCACTGCACTTCAGCCTGGGTGGCAGAGTGAGAATCCAACTCAAAAAAAAAAAAAAAAATCCCACTCGGAGACCCGGTTCAGTGGCTCAAGCCTATAATCCCAGCACTTTGGGAGGCCAAGGCAAGAGGATTGCCTGAGCTCAGGGGTTTGAGACTAGTCCGGGCAACTTGGCGAGACCTCGTCTCTACAATAAATTCAAAAATTAGCCAAGCATGGTAGTGTGCACCTATAGTTCTGGCTACTTGGAAGACTGAGGCGGAAGGATCGCTGGAGCCCAGTAGGTCAAGGCTGCGGTGGCTGTGAGTGTGCCACCATACTCTAGCCTGGGTGATGGAGTGAGACTCCAACTCAAAAAAAAAAAAAAAGAAAAAAAAAATCCCAGTTCATGTCCCTCTTTCTAAGTGCTCTTCTGAGAATGAGAGACTCTGTTTTCACTGGAAAATTCTTAGAAAGGCTGCATTCATACCCCATCCCTTCCTTCTAGCTGCAGGGGTGTGAAACTTTCTGAAGGACTCTTTCAAAGTCAGTCCTGTTCTGGACCACTTACTGGCATTCCCAAAAATGTCAGCATTGACTTCTGGGAGTTTGTCCTCCTCACCACACACAGCTTCTCTCATGTGGCTACTGCCATTGTCTCCAAAGGACTTGGCTCCCATTCTGGGGTGATTTGGACAGATACGTGATACCCTATGATTCTCAGAACCCAGGGTCTATCTAGTATCCCTTTATTTTCTCTCCCTAAACCGAATTCCCTCATTCCTGACTCCAGGCATCCCTCTGGATTGGCTGAAGGAGTCTCTGCTCACACGCACAGGTACTTACCCTTCCCCCTGCCAGGCTGTGCCAAGATTTCATCAACATGGGGGACCTTCTGGTAGTGGGTCACGTGGGCTTGCTGGGAGGCCTCTGCCTCCCTCTGAAACCCACAACAAAGATGTTCTTCCTGCGGACTCCTGTCTTGGGCATGGTCCACTGGTACAAGACCTGCTGATTCTGCCAATCCCAAGGAAACTATTTTCTAGCCTGGGGGATTCCCTCTTTTCCCCTCTTCTTTCAGGCCAGTCAGCACCCTTCTCAAACCTGCCAAGTTCTTTCATGAGCACAGGCTGGCTTTTTTTTCCTCCCCTCTACATGTTCAGAGAAACTTCTTTAGTAATGAACTATAGAAATAATCTCTCTTTGGTTTTTGTGTGATGGGTTATTGCTGGTTCTGACCAGAACCCACCTCCCCTGAGGCAGTGAAACTCAGAATCAGCTGACCACTGCATCATTAGAGAGAAGACAGAAGGGAAAAGAGAGGAAAATATGAATTAATTTTGTGAAAATGTTAAGTGATCATAATGTCATTATTTCTTTTTTTTTTTTTGAGTTGGAGTCTCACTCTGTTGTCCAGACTGGAGGGCAGTGGCTGCTCCCGGCCACCGCAGCCTCGACCTGCTGGGCTCCGGCGATCCTTCCGCCTCAGCCTTCCAAGCAGTCGGAACTACGGGCGCACGCTACCATGCCCAGCTGATTTTTTGATTTATTGTAGAGATGAGGTCTCGCCAAGTTGCCCAGGTGGGTCTCGAACCCTCGGGCTCAGGCAATCCACTCACCTCAGCCTCCCAAAGGCGCGAGATTACAGGCTGAGCCACCAAGCCCAGCTTCATTATTTCAAATCACAAATACTTGTTGTGCCCTGCCTTGTCCCAAGGACTATGCCAGGCACCAAGAATGCAGACATGAATGACACATGGCTGGGCCCTCCAAGGATCCTAGTGTGATAGGGGAGAGATATTAGCCAAGATTACAGGGAGGTGTAAAACACAGGAAGACAGAACCCAGGGGTAAAGAAAAAGAGAGGCTCTTAGGCCAGGTGGTGGTGGCTCACGCCTGGAATCCCAGCAATTTGGGAGGCCGAGGCAGGAGGATTGCTTGAGCCCAGGAATTTGCAACCATTCCGGGCAACATAGCAAGACATTTTCTCTACAAAAATAAAAAAATTAGCCAGGCGTGGTAGTGCATGCTTATAGTTCCAGCTACTTGGGTGTCTGAGGTGACAGGATCATCTGAGCCCACAAGACTGAGGCTATAGCGACTGTGATCATGCCACTGCCCTCCAGCCTGGGTAACAAAGTTAGACCCCCAATTCAAAAAAAAAAAAAAAAATTAAAAAGAAAAGGAAAGAAAGAGAGGCTCTTAATTGAGGCTCCTGAGAGACAGGGAGAACTTAATGGAATGCATGGTTTGTGAAGGCAGGGATTTTTTTTTCTTGTTTCGTTTATTGTTAGAGACCCACATTCTAGGAACAGCATCTGCATATGGGGAGCACTCAACAAACGTTAGCTGTGTGAATGGATGAGTAAGTGAGGAGGTGGCTGTAGAGGTCGACGAGAACGTAAGCAGACGGCTCTGTGAAAGATCTGGGGAAACATTAATATATTTGTCAAAGTCCCAGCAGAAAAGATGTGGTACATACAGTCCTATTGGGTAATTTGAGGAAAGTTTAAGAAGGTGGTTATTTACAATGGTGTACGCAGTGTGTAGTGAACCCACAAAGGACAGAGCAGTACCCCGGAGCTAGTAACATGGGGTATGACCACCCCTGCACCAAAAGGGGCTGAGGAGAGAGCAATTATTGGAACCTTGAAGGAGGGAGACTATATAGAGGGGGCCACCTTGAGAGGAGCTGTGAGCTTCAGTTAAGGGACATAGCAGCCCCAGGTGACTGTGCAGAGAGGGCACCAGGAGATGAAATACAGTAAGTCCCCTACATATGAACCTTCAAGTTATGAACTTGCAAAGATGCGAGCCTATGTTCACATGTCCAGTCATGTAAGTTTTTTCATGTGTCTGGTATATGTTGTCATGTATGAGCATCCTCTACAAGTAGTTGTGCTTTTGTGTACTTACTGTACAATACTGTATATTTGTTTTTTATGTATTATTTGTGTTAAAAGTATTATAAACCTATGACTGTACAGTGCTATACAGCCAACTGTGTTAGTCGGGTTCCTAGGCTAACTCTGTTGGACATCTGAATAAATTGGACACACTCTTGGAACGGAACTCGTTCATATGTAGGGGACTTACAGTAACCCAACCTTTTTCTCTTCTCTTCCTTCATTCTTCTACTTGGACTTCTCATTGGTGAACCCCCTCAGAAGACAGAGATCAAGGGAGTCTGTTGTAGTTCACAGAGGCCAGCCTCCTCGCTCACAGACAGAGGGAAGAAAGGCACACTGAGGCTATCCGTCAGGGAATAAACACTTGTCCAGAGTGACTGGTCTGGTTTTGATGGGCTTGGGAAATCACGGAACCTTTAGTTGGAAACATTATCTGGCAACACAAAGTGACTGAAGGGCTGAACAGACATTCTTGCTGTGCAAAAATCACTGCTCAGCGTCCATTGAGTAGCTTTTATTTTTCTTCTTTGTCCTTAGGCAAATAATCTCCCGAAAGCCATTGCAGCTGCCCACACCTTTCTACTGAAGCATCCCGATGACGAAATGATGAAGAGAAACATGGCGTATTACAGGAGCCTGCCTGGTGCCGAGGACTACATTAAAGACTTGGAAACCAAATCGTATGAGGTAGATTTGGATTTTTACACAGCCGTTAGTCACAACGTGGACTGGTAAAGAAGTGCATCTCCGGCCGGGCTCGGTGCCTCAGCCTGTAATCCCAGCACTTTGGGAGGGCGAGGTGAGCGGATTGCCTGAGCCCGCGGGTTCGAGACCCGCCTGGGCAGCGAGACCTCATTTCTACAATAAATCAAAAAATCAACCGGGCATGGTAGCACATGCCTGTAATTTTGCCTACTCGGAAGGCTGAGGCAGAAGGATCGCCAGAGCCCAGCAGGTCGAGGCTGCGGTGGCCGGGAGTGGCCACTTGCACTCCAGTCTGGGCGACAGAGTGAGACTCCAACTCAAAAAAAAAAAAAAAAAGAAGTGCATCTCCATAAGCAGCTACTGATATCTAAGGACCTTTAGTGATTTTTGGTGACATTTGAGGAATATTAACGACAGTGGAAATGATTGACATTTTAGTACAAAGTTGATCCATTTAACAATGACATTTTATGTTTCATGAGCGTTTTAAAAGTTACTCCTCTGCTAGGCTCAGTGGCTCATGCCTGTAATCCCAGCACTTTGGGAGGCTGAGGCGAGTGGATTACCTGAGCCCACGGGTTCGAGACCAGCCCGGGCAACTTGGCGAGACCTCGTCTCTACAATAAATAAAAAATTAGCTGGGTGTGGTAGTGCACGCATGTAGTTCCCGCTACTTGGAAGGCTGAGGCAGAAGGATCGCAGGAGCTCAGCAGGTGGAAGCTGGAGTGACCATGAGTGTGCTGCTGCACTCCAGCCCAGGCGATGGAGTGAGATTCCAACTCCAAAAAAAAAAGTAAATAAAATAAAATAAATGTAAACAAAGAAATATAAATTTCCAGTTTTGATGAAACTAGGAGGTCTGCATATATTTGTTAAATTAAAACAAAAAAATTTTGGCCAAGCTCAGTAGCTCATGCTTATAATCCCAGCACTTTGGGAGGTGGAGGTGAGAGGATTGGCTGAACCCGCAAGTTCAAAACCAGCTTGGGCAAGTTGGCAAGACCGCATCTCTACAATAAATAAAAAATTAGCTGAGCATGGTAGTGCATGCCTGTAGTTCCAGCTACTTGGAAAACTGAGGCAGAAGGATAACCTGAGCCCAGCAGATCAAGACTGTGGTGGCCTTGAGCGTGCCACTGCCCTCTAAGCCTGGGAAACAGAGTGAGACTCCAAATAAAAAATAATTTTTTTTTTTTAGAGATAGAGTCTTGCTCTGTCACCCAGGCTGGTTTTGAACTAATGAAGCTCAAGCGATCTGCCTCCCCTGGCCTCCTAAAGTGCTGGGATTACAGGTGTGAGCCACTACGCCCAGCTACAGGCTCTGTCCTCTCTCTGCCTGGCTTCCCTCTTGCTGCCACCCTGTGCCCTTCAGTTCTCTGCCTGTCTTTTTTTTTTTTGAGTTGGAGTGTCACTCTGTTGCCCAGGCTGGAGTGCAGTGATACACTCACCACCACCCCAGCATTGACCTGCTGGGCTCCGGTGATCCTTTCACCTCAGCCTTCCAAGTAGCCAGAACTATAGGCGTGTGCTACCATACCCAGCTAATTTTTCAATATATTGTAGAGATGAGGTCTTGCCAAGTTGCCGGACTGGTCTTGAACCCACAGACTCAGGCAATTCACTTGCCTCGGCCTCCCAAAGTACTGGGATGACAGATTGAGCCACCGAGCCCAGCCTTTGTCTGTCTTATTTCAGAAGATGCTGCTGGCCTAGAAGGTTTAAAGCAATTCACTCTCTTTACCTGGGGCCTTAACGTTGGTGAAAATTTGTAGTTCAAGGGGTGGCCCTCAGATACTCCCATTCAGGAGGCAGCTGGAAAGGAACTCCCAAGTGGAGAGTCCTGGGGCTTATTTAAGGCCTGCTCTGGGCTATCCAAGTTAGCAGGTTTTCATGTATATCCAGGGTCTCTACTTATTTCTCGGAGACCAAGCTGCCTCCTCAGTCCTAGTGATTTTTAAAAAAATTTTTTTTTTAAGTTCTAGAGTTGTGGGGTGCAAGTGGAGATTTATTACATAAGTAGGCTGCATGCAGGTAAAGTTTGGGCTTCTAGCTGGCCTTCTCTCTCCCGATAGTCAATTTATGTTTTTTTGTTGTTTTTTTTTTGAGTTGGAGTCTCACTCTGTTGCCCAGGCTGGCTGCTCCCGGCCACCGCAGCCTCGCCTGCTGGGCTCTGGCAATCCTTCCGCCTCAGCCTTCCGAGTAGCCGGAATTACAGGCATGTGC